ATTCCCAAATCTAGAATACAAATCCAAACCTTAGACCCAAATCCAGGATACAAATCCAAACCCAAATCTCAAATCTCAAATCAAAATCCAAACCCAAATCTCAAATCTCAAATCCAAATCCAAACCCAAATCCAATACCAAATCCAAAGGCTTTGGTCCCAAATCCAAACCTTTTCGAAGATTTGTTGCATCCCTAAACTAAGAGCTCTTTTTGGTAACGCACAGAGATAAAAAATAATGAGGCTTTCAGTTCATTTTTTTCTAAACAGAACATTGATCTGGAAAAATTCGTTGTAGCCATAAAGAAAGTCGGAACATTTGCCTACAAAATGCTGCGTGACACTTCATGTTTACTTCTTTCTTTCCGTGTCTGTCATTTACATTTTGAGAAGCACTTCCAAATCAAGCCTAGGCCCTGGTGGTCGGTAATCTGTTTCGGTCATATTTCCCAGTCTTACTTCTGCTGTCGAACCAATGAAAATAGAATTCTTATGCAGAAAGGTGTGTTTTACAGGATGGCATAGTTTATTTTGAAAACAAAACAGCTTCTATTTCAGCTATGTTGGTTGACCGTTAGCCGTTTTGGTTGATAATGGTAGCTGTAAAATGAGGTCAATACATTTAAGTTCTCTTTTCAAAAACACACAGCCAATATCATTTCAAGACATGAGATTTCATTTATAGTATGTAGTTAATTTCTTCTATTCAACTATTTCAAACATTCACATGAGACAACTATGTATATATATATATAACGGATGCCCCATAATAAATGGCCGGTTTTCTCATCAATGAAAGTATATAGTTTATCCATATTTTCCACTTATTTATACATTATGTATTTGGACTGTTCAAGATCTACATAAATACAAAAGATCAGCTCGATAAGTGCTTTTTAGATTTAATTTAAATATGAAGTCTAAAGATATACGAAAAGTAGTACTGCGAATGGCTCATGACAGTATGTCATCGCTACAAATTGCTAAAAAATTACGAAAAGTGGTCAGTGAGCGAACAGTCAGACGACGGCAACATTTATGTAGAAGCATCGGTACAATGGATTTGAAAACATCTGGTAGACTCAGAATTATACGAACAAACGTTTTGTTCAAAAAGTCAAGAATAGGTTTATTTGTAAAGGTCGACAAAGTGCAAGAAAATTAGTTAATGAGCCATGTTCACAGTTCGCTTATAAGTCACCCGTCAGCAAAAATAGTGCATAGAGAGAGAGAGAGACAATGTCTCGCTTAGCACGCCTTCTCTCTTTTTATCTTCTTCCTCTGCTCTTCTTTTTCGACGAAGCTGTTGTCGTTGAAAAGTGTCAACGTCCCATCTCTTTTATCTCCAATTTTCTTTGATATTTTCTTCGTCTTTCTCATCAACATAACTAATCTAGTCCATCGAAAAAAAAAGATAAATATATGAACATCCTGAAATCACAACTATATAGAAAACAAATCAAGCAAAATATATTATTGCAGTGAAATATAACATATCAATCTAAATATATTACTTTACAGAAAATTTATTGACAAAAATAATGTACATTAACAAACAAAAAAATTTTACAAAAACAAAGGTGAATCAAATATTTTTGACAAGAGGTTCGTCAAAAATGGTAAGGAAAGAGCAAATATAAAACCAATAATCAAGGAGGTGTATTGATTTGATTGGAATAATACCATTTAACAATTTGTAATTTTTAATACGGCCCATAAACCTTTCCACGTGTATCCTGTGCTGAGCGATGATGCGAGTTTTCAATACGTTTTCAGGTAATAGTTGTGGGTGTCGTTCAAGAAATGGTGGATGAACAAGAGTAAGATGAGAAAACTTACGATCTAATGAAAAACCTCTGTCAGACATCACTTGATCACCGTCTTCAAGAAGTTCAATCAGACTTCCACAGCCTTCCATATTTAAAATAGCACGGTCAGTTGTGGCCCCTCCATACAAAGGAGAAATGTATGAAACCACACCATTTGGTGTAATGCCAATAAGTCCTAAAAAGATAATAGATAAAGATTGTTGTTAAGATGAAAAATAAAAATAATCGGATGACTCGATGAGTATGTAAAAATACGAGAAAACAATGATTTCCTCGTTACATTTCTGCTAAATCATGTTCTATATTTTAGATAAAAACTGCGAACGCTTTGCAAAGAATTATGCGCATGAATAATCAAGTTAAAGAAGTGTGAAGCTGCATACCTTTGGCTGTATTAGTATTTTTATAATTTGACCATGTATTTTGTTGTGCTTGCGGATTTCGCGGCTGCTCGATTTCAAACTCCGTACAATCAACAATAACCCGTACCGTTGGGTAGTTTTTCTTCATCTCAAATGGAAGATTTTGTTGTACTTTTTCTTTCGATTGCCAAAGAGAGATCGAATTGAAAACCGAGTAGACAAAACGAGTCCAGGAAATAATTATTCTACTAACAGTAGAATGAGATAAATTGAAAAAAGTTCCCTTAAAAAACGAAATAAAACAATGAAAGCTTACTGAGCTAAACTCACTAGTTCTTGTAAATCAGTTCCTCGCCTTAAACGAATCATAAATAAGAAAAATTGATTCTTCTTGGAGAGCTTGTGTACTTCTGTTAACATTCCATATGGTAAGTCACACTCTGGTCGCGTTGAATATGCGATGAAATACTCATCATATTGACCCTGTAACAAGAAAAAGAACAGAATCATTAAAAAATGATATGTTCCAAGATCAGTTTCTTTACTTCCAATAACTCAAAAACCATCTCGAAAATATTATAAGATTTGAAACCAGTGTAGTATTTTACGTTCAAATCATCATTCCGAAAACGTTCAATGCATATTGATGTATTGATAGAATTTTGTTGAAGAAGTGACAGATTTTCAAATAGAGTACTTAAACAAGTCATATCAAGATCTGTTTGAATAGCGATTGAATGTGAGTGTGTTGCTGTAGTAGTAATAATAGTCGTTAGAGGTTCTATTTCAATAGGTAGTGCATCTAATTTTAATCGTTTTCGACCTTTTACATTGGTATTTTTCTTTGATTTCATTGAAAAAGAAGAAGATGAAAAATGACAACTGCAAACTCTGCGGTTGGAAAAGTTGTTCAAATCAAGACGATTAAGTCGTTTAAGCCATATATGTCGTAGGTTAGTATCAGTTGGAAGGCAATGAAAAGTAACATTTTTCGATAGTCCCTCTCGGTTAGAACAAGCAATGCAAGACCTGACCATTTTTTGATAATGTGAATGAATATGTGAAAATAATATTTGTTCTGTTGTTCGATTGTTTATCACTTATCTTCGTCGTAACAGATATGTGATCTTATTAGTACATAGATGATCGTTAATTAATAACATTCCGGTAAACATATACACTAATGTAAGCCAATCAATGTAACACTATTAGCACCTCCTTTGATTTAATCATCTAAGCTAATCATACATACATGTTTTATTGAAAAGAATGTATACGAGTATCATTTGTGTTAGTACTGCTTCATTTTATATTCATTTTCATGGCAAACTCATCATCACCTTCATTTATCTCAATCGTCGATTATAAACGTCCTTTTAATATTGACGTAAGCTCGATTACTGAGTACTTTTGCTCGGTACTCGCTAGCGATGGATCTTTGGATCGTGGAGCTTTACGAAACGGAAATCTTCTCTTCAAAAACCATTTTGTACATGCCATCGCTATAAGTCGACGATTTATCGAAATAACAGTTACCGCTAAATGTCGTGCACAAATGAAAAAAGCAGGGAACTATCAAGTAAATAGTTTTGCTAGTTTTTTTCTCAACTTTGTACGATTTGTAACCAGAACAATTTCTGTAAGATTTAAACTTTTTTTTTCTACCGTGTCTTATATATACTCTGAAGATATTTGAGATGTGTTAATATAGTATACATTTCTCGGGAAATTTTGTGTCTCTATGTAACATACATGGTATTTTCATTCTCAACAGCATTTGCGTTTTTTAGATGAAATTAATCTTAAACAGCAATCGTCCAGCAGATATTATTCAAGCAACTTGTGAATGTGTAGCTGGACACGGACCTAGAGCTGCATGTAAACATCTTGCTGCATTATGTTTCGGTTTGTTAGATTACGATGACAAGAAACTCTATGATGCATGTACTCAAAGATTACAAGAGTGGCATCAACCTACTCGTCGATCAACAAATCCAGTACCTCTTTCAAGTATTGATTTTGGTTGTCTTCAACATGATACTACAGAACAACAGACTCCTCAATATGCAAAGTTTCTTAAAGATTATATATATGTATCTGGTGCACAAAGAGCTCTTCATCAGTTGCTCATTAAATACAATCAAGATTTAAATATTGCTGCTTCATTCTTTCTTTCACAGCAAGAACCAACTTCCTTCATAGCCCTTCCAGGGCGTGTTGTAACTCAAACATCAGTTTCATTTGATTATTCTGTCGATCTCTCCATAGTCAAACATTATTATGATAACATTCACCTTTCTTCTACTCAAATATCTATCCTTGAGCAAGCAACTCGTGGTCAGTCATCATGTTCTCAATGGCATAAAGAAAGAAAATTTCGTATTTCAGGTACGCATATTTATGTTTTATCGAGTTGCGTTTTCAACATGTTTAACAAATTTTATCGGACTGTGTCTCTAGCGGAACTATCATTGTAGGTACAAATGTTTATTCAATTTGTGTTGAAAAACATCATTTTCAAAAGCTCGCAAAGTCTATACTGAAAGATAAAGATCAAGATCTTTCTTCTATTCCTGCCGTTCGACATGGAATATTGAACGAAGAAATATGTCGTCGTCGATATGTACTTGAACAAACCAAAAGTGAGTTCGAATTTATTCAGAATATATTCATTTATGAAAAAAAGATCGAGAAAAAATCTTATTTACTGATGAAAATAAATTCGAATTAGGCGGCATTTTCAATCGCCAAAATGACCATGTTTATGCTCCCTCTCGACACGACACTGATGAACACAAAGGAGCAAAGCCGACGGCCAAGTTTCCAAAAAACCTTATGGTATGGCTTGCGGCATCAAAAAATGGTCTTTCACTTCCAATTATTTTTGAGCCCGGTGAAACGCTAACGCATGAAAAATATGTTGACATCATTTTGCCACATGCACGAGCTGAATGTCAACGATTATTAGGGGATGATTTTATTTATCAACAAGATAATGCAACATCACACAAGCATAAAGTTTCGATAGCGTAGATTAAGAAAAACTTTCCTCGGTTCATCGATGAAAAAAATGGCCGCCTAATAGTCCAGACCTCAATGTTCTTGACTATTATGTGTGGGACGCTATAGGTCATAATATGCATTGGGATAAAGTCAAGAGATATGATTCATTCATTGGTCAAATAAAAAAAGGTATAAGTCGTGTACCAAAAAATGACCTCCTTCGCAATGCTCAAAATTGGTCAAGCAGGATTTTTTATATTTTGAAAACAAAAGGTGCTTATATTAGATAACATTTTTTTGTGCAGGTTATAGTAGTAACTATGTTGTGTGCACTCCCATATTTTGATTTTAAATAAAGCTTATCAGATACTATAAATATTACGAGTAAAACCGTCCATTTATTATGGGGCACCCGTTATTACACCGAGACGCTATATTAATCTGAGAGGAATCAAATTGTTACATCTATTCCCAAGTGAGCAAAAAAATAGGGAGGACGGGCGACATGGCTAGTCCAAAAAGTCTGCTATACCCGTCAAGTCTAGTCTAATACGTCTTCAATATCTATTGTGACTAGTCCGTATGTCCTTTTACCCGTCTAGACTGGTCTGTTTATTCATTTACTCCCACCTGGACTAGCCCATAGCAGGGGAAAATATTGTAAAAAATGGAGAAGAAAGTTAGATTACAACATTAGAGACACTTATAATACTATTAAAAATCAGACTGGCGTCTTGACGGCAGTCAATAATACAGTAAGCCTTATGTCTATGTATATATTCTAAAATGCAAATGGGTGTCTTCCATATACCATGCGTGCAGAAATCACTTGATGGAAAATGATTCTCACTACCCGAAAATGTCTTAAATGATAGCTAGAAGGACTGTTCCTAGGCTAATATAAACTGTTGTATGTTTGTAAAGATTATTCTATTTTTTAAGTACACCGCCAGTCCGAATTCTGAATTATCTAAATAAATATTAGAAGGTAAAAAATTGTTGAATAAAATGTCCTGCTGAATTGCTAAATTAATGACTAAAACAAGACAAAAACATGAGATAAAATAATCACAGTTTTCAATTTATTTTATTCAATTTCGTCTGAATAATTTTGGAACTTATAAAAAATATTTTTATTCATATGAAAAATTGGATAGAACTTACAAAGAATTCGTATTTTAAAGCATCTTAGAATGACTAGAAATACTGATAAATTGATCTCTCGATCAAATGGCTCAATGGTCTGAACGATGGGTAAGTAATAGTTGGTATGTGTGTTCGAATCTAGTTGTAGTCATAAAATATTTCAGTTTAGACTAGTCAGGAGCTCGTCATTATATAAGACCACAACTCGTCATGTAAAGCGTCATGAACGCTCTTACTTTTATTTAGAATCATGTTTTTGACGGGCGTCAGGATGGTACAGCATGTCTAGACTTTTTTTCGAAAAAGACTACGCATGACAAATAGAATGACTCCAGTCACTTTCATAGCCCGGACGGGCACTATGGACTATACGAGATTTCAGACTAGTCCTGTACTAGAGCATTTTGAGAAAAAGACTAGACTGGACGGCCGACTTGTCTAGAAAAAAGACTAGCCTTTTTACTAGTCTTTTGGTCACCTGGGTTGTTATATAAAATTTGGATACATGCAGTTCTTTTCACATATAAAAACTTTGACAGCAGTAAAGATTTCAGAGGGAAACTTTAGATTGAGCAAGCAGTAGCGTTCTATCTACCGCAAACCCTACTCAGTGTTCAGGGTACGTGGGAAACAGATGAGAAATTTTAATAGGTTTGTTTGGTATAACTTAATGCTTTGAAATTTATAATTTATAATCTGAGATTATTCTATTATTTAGAGAAGAGAATGATTTCGTTATATATCAATTTAGTTTTAATATCGTCCGCATGGTGCAAATGGTTCAAGGATGTTAGTACGACTATTTTCTTTCACATAAGATACTTTAAGTCTCTGAAATGTATTGACTATGTGCTTTGCATTATTTTATATAACATTCAGAGAAATTTTCTAAGAATTTTTCTATTTTATACTGCCAATTATCATTGAAGATGAACCTACAATCATCAAGAATTAAGACTGACATTTCTTCTTAAGATCCTCAGTGTCTAATCATCTCCATTTCCATCCCTTCTCTGATTTGCAGCGGTACTACCGAATGAATTTAGCGTCATTAATTTATACATTTTTGAACAACATGATCGTTACCATAGAAAAAAGGATTCATCTTTGTTTTTATCCATAGATGAATATGCGCGTTCGGAAATGTACAAAGTCAGGAAATCTATTTTTAACATATACATGAGGGTGCGGAATAAATGTCCACTCATTTATGGTATTGTATCTACTTTATTGTCTTTTGACACAGCCTTGATACTCTCGAGTATTTCGGAAAAAAGTTGCTCGAAATATTTTTCGATGTTATTACTGTAAGTTGAAATAAGAAAGGGCTTTTACAGATCAAAGCTTTGTGAATAATATTTTTTATTAATTTTTATCATATCTTAACTGTTTCTGCAGAAGACAGCGATTTTACGTCGCGTTACTTTGTTTTGTTGTAAAGAAATAAGTTGAAAAGAGCAAATGGAGCCTATTTTCTTCGCCAAGAAATAAGGCTGTTTGTTTTTCATTGATTTACGTAGCTTCATTCTGAATAAAATCGCAGCAATAGCTTTATGTTGTCAACATGTTTTCGCCATTATCCTCTTTAGTTTGCGCTACAGGCAAAAGAAAAAATGCATCTATTAAATAGCGATTGCTCTACTCATATGTGTTCGAAATGAATGAAATTCGTTAAAAGTAAAACGATGAATGCTGTTTCCATCTCATTTTCTCACGATTCTATCAGTTTACAACTTCCACTTAACAGAAAAATATTTTAAAACAACTCAGATAGCTAAAATTGCTTCGAATATATCGACTATTACTGCAGCAGTTATGAAAAACTACATACCAGCATATACACGCACAGAAAAATCAGTAGGTTTACTCCAATTTCGTTCGATAAATAAATTTGTTTCTTTAAAGTTTGGACGGCCATTTCGATCCACGATAGAGCGGCCACAAATAGCTCAAGAGAAAAATGATCAATTAGACACAATCAAAAGCATCCCATCGGAAACCAAAACAGAAATGAAAAATTACTTCAATCAAGAAGGATTATTCTTGAGTAAAGGAACATCAGGGAACGTTTTAACAAGCATCACAATATTGAAAATTTTCGTGTTTGCATTACTCGGAGCAGCCACTGCTACAGGAATCGCTATTGTGCTGAGTATTGCTATCCCAAATTCTTCGTGTAAGTGAAGATCTTTTTGTTCGCTGCAGAGTTACAAGAGAAATTTAGCTTCAAACTCGGGACGACTAAAGATTGAAAGGGTACGCAATGCAAATTTTCCGTTTGTCATGTATTATCTAATGCATGTTCCGAACATTGACTTCTAATGTTGGTACACGGCTCCTGCTAATGGAATTTATTCTTGTAAAGTATACCTTTAGGTGATGGACTAAACCACACCAATGAGCTTTCCGCTACGAGAGAGATTCAACTTTCAGAGGATTGTCCTTGTTAAATCAGATTTGGTTAGCGAAAATGCCACATATTTGATTTTTCATTCCTGAATAACTTATATTAACCTCACTCACACTAGCTTTATTCTAAGCAAAAATAAAGACTAAATGAGTAATCATATAGGGAAGAAAGTGATTTATTCACTACTAAGAAACTTCCCATTACATTTATTTCAGCAGTTGACATTGATGCCTTCGTGACTTCTCATTGATGATGTCAGTGTAATTAATTATTACAATTTGCTTATGTAGGTCTCACCAGTTTTCAGCTTGCAAAGACAAATAAAACAGGGATGTGTATGTTGAATGTAGGATGTAATTAATCCACATATTGTATCGATTCCAGTGTCACCAGAAGAAAAATACTCTTTGACCAATCCTTAAATATCGAAAACTTCTATTGTCTTAACGAGAGAATACTTACAAAACGGTTAATGATTTAGTCTCAGAACAGATATGAAGTGATAACTAGTCAGACAGAATCATCAGCACACATTCAAGATGAAATCATTTCATCATTGAACTGTAATTGTCTGCAATTTTCCATGTACAGTGTAATATCGAAGAGATAAATGTTGTCGAAGATAAAATAAACTCAGCAGTGCCTAAAAACCCGAGTTATAAAAGCGAGAGTTCTTGACTCTTGCAATAACATAGGCAATATTAATTTTGTTTCTCTCATCAGTGTTTTTCATTCACTTCGATGATTCTACCAATAGCCACAAAGATGATATCAACTACCACTAGCAGTAGCATCACAACAACAACAACAACAGCAATGACAACTACAACAACCACAACAGTAACAACAACAACTACGACGACATCGACCACAAGTGTAACAACAACAACCAGTACGACGACAAGTAAATACTCTTTAGGATAACTAGATTCTCTAAATGCTTATGTTTACAAGGATCTAGTTCCGATGTCTCGGTTAAACATATTCAATCTTGCAAGCTTATAAAATACTGTATAAGTAAAAGCATTGTCTCTGATATTTTCCCATGGCAGATTTACGTAGAATAACCCGAATTCTAAGCTATACACTATTATCTCATTTTGAACACACCATCGACTCAACTCGTATTCTCATATTGCACCTTTCACAAATGAAGTGAACTCAGAGCACATGGTTCAAGATAGTCAGTCACATCAAGTAAGTTTGCTTGAAGTACTACTGTATCTAGGCTTTTATGAGATGTTGTCAAAATACGGATTTCCGTAAAAGTAGCATATAACTCCAAGAATTCAAGGATAGTGTTGATCGATTTCATGAATGCAGCTGGTTAAAAATTATAAAGTCAGCTTTTATGCTTACGTACTATGCAAAAAATTAATACGGTCAAAGATATTCATTTTATAATAACTCCAAAACATCTGAGTTCGTAACTTCAGTTGTCTCTGAACTTTCTATGATTTGTTTTGAAGATTGAGTATAGGATGCGCTCAATTTAATATAGCTTACGCTAAACACATTCATCTGTTGGATAGTTCCAAGAAGTGGGATGAGGAATACAAATTTCTTTCAAAAGTGGCTCTGCGTAAGCATATAAAACAAGTGTATATCTATCATTTCAGAAACAACAACAACAACAACAACAACAACAACAACAACTGCTACAACATCGTGCATATCTCCATGTATTTGTGCTGGAGTTGCGTCGTACACCCAGTGGCAAGCTTATTCCACTGATGGTATGACTATGACAATCAGTACAAGTGGTTGTAATTTCGTCCAGACGCCTCAATACTATACTAGCATAGGCGGAACGAGTAATCATTGGTCTTTGTCGGGTTACGACTCTATTTATTCACCGTCAAGCACTTCTTTCACAATCTATTCTATGAATATGGCTGGTTGGAGTTCATCAACAATGGTGAGCTATGCAAATTCTTACTCCTGGAATGTTTATTGGGTGGGTATATATGACTAAATAGTGACATGTACAGTGCGGTGCATAATTATAAGACCACTTGTTCTCAAATTAAACTAAGTGAAATGAGCCATATTTTTAGTGATTTCACATAGATGATTCATAAGAATAGCGCTATAAAATTTTCAAGCGGGAGTCTTTTTATTTTCCTATATATCTAGAATTACCTCCATTTTGGTGGTGCATAAATATAAGACCACATGATTGGTTTTTAATACTAAGTGAATCATCAGTGACNGCTTGAAAATTTTATAGCGTTATTCTTATGTCTCATCTATGTGAAATCACTAAAAATATGGCTCATTTCACTTAGTTTAATTTGAGAACAAGTGGTCTTATAATTATGCACCACACTGTATGTTTCATTCGAAGCATAAAAATATTTTATAAATCCTGCTGAAAAATTCTAAATGATTAACGATAGCAATCATTGCGCGTTTTTAAAAGACTTAGAATTCTTGCGACGAAATGAAATTTTCTTACATAAACATTTTCGTTCAATTCTTTTTTAACATACACTAAGTTTCATCTTACGAAATATTGTGTCGGAAACGTCTTGATAAAAAGACGATAGCTCTGTCTTGAAATTTTTGCAATAAATAAAGTCTTCCAGTATATAAATCAAGCTCATGGTTGGTATCACCGAAACGACGTGTGCTTAAATAGTGCTAGTAAATGTCAGCCGATGGCTATTGGAAAATGGCATGATATTATTTCATTATTTGACCCTAATGCAAAGTTTGAGATGTTACGGGTGTGGGTGTGGGTGCGATTGAAAACAATATCAACCATCGAAGCGACAGTTACACATCCGAATTTTTAAATTCTATCATTGCTGACTTTTCTATGGTTTTGAGCACAACACATGGACATAAATTGATCTATCACAGCTACCACACAAGTAACGTTCATCGATATCGAAAGGCGATTCACTGAGCCCTAGACTGACAGTACTGAGGAGATGAAATGCATGGACAGGACAGAAAATCGTTTGTTTGTGCCAGCAGGTGTTGGTGATATTTTCAAACAGACGTGTAAAGGGGGTGGGAATAAGTGAAACTACAGTAAGAATTAGACGAAAATTAAAGGCTCCAAGCAAAAGCACTAGAAGTGAAGACGCAACATGAACAGAATGGGACTCAAAGGCCCTTAAGGCGGGGGAGAGGTTGAGTCTTACCCAGCCAGAAAATAAGGGGCTCAGAAATTTCGTGATGGTTAGCTCAAAGTTCCGTAGGGGGATCAGCTCGCCCCCTCCACTGACCACTTATCCAGAGAGGACTGTTTCCCGTGACAATGTCATGCAGTCGCCCATGGCTTGTGTTGTGACAATGCTCTTTTTGCCATAAAAATGGCCATTTGTACCACCGAAATGACTATTTTGTACCGTACGAATTGTCATTTGTACCACAGGAATGGTCGTTTGTACCATAGAAATGGTCAATTGTGTCATTGTTACAGCCAGACGCAGGTGAATTACGATTTCTAGACCCTATCCTTTCAGTCTAGGAATAACAAACAAAAATAAAAAATATCATGCTCTTATATGAATTTCATTTACGAAAACTATTGCTAAGTGAAAATGCGTTGTTTTCAATTAAATCTGCTCGTTTTCTCCATTAGCTCGTATGATTCTTCACTGTAGGCGAAAACAAATGCATTTATTAAGGTTGACACAACAAATGAATAGCATTGGTTAAAATCAAAGCAATGAATGTTGTTTGCATTCAATCACATGCAATGCTTTCAACTTGAAATTGTTACTGAACGGCAAACAATTGCAATTGGACAGGCAGTACAATTTGTTTCAATATGTTGATTGCTACACTAACAACTGTAGAAGGAGGCACACCAGCACGTGGAAAGGCTGCTGAATCTGTTCAGGTATTTCGAAATTTATTGAGAAAGCTATATCGTTTTTAGCATTTTTCAAACTAACGAAATCGAGCTGCTCATGGCGTGGGTAGAGAATAAGTATCTTATCATTTCACATTGTTAGTTGATGCCTTCTTGAATCCCTCTGATAGGATCCAGTCAGTTCCTGACAATTGAGCTTTATTAATATATTCTCACTCTGTCTGTAATTAGCTGTAGTCTTCAACAATATTTTGGCGTTGTTGAAGCAGCGTTCGGTTTTCCAACAACATCTAAACGTGCTTGATTGATTCAAATTTAATTATTATGCAAATCAGTCGAGTATCATAACCCCTCTATCATCTAGACAGCTACTCACAAATTTTGAGGAAAAGTTTTCATCTCAGCAGCGCCCTAAAGTCACTCGTTACACGTTGAGATCCGTCAAATATGCTTTCAGATTAACTTTTAGAATGCCTCCGTGATAAAGCAGCGAATTGAATAATTAATTTTAGTACTTATCATAAATGACTAAATCAATATTAGAAATTAGGATCTATTTTTAGAAAAAGCTATATAAGCATATTCGAAATCCCAAGCTAAGGTCTTGAAGATTCTCAGTTTCGAGATAATTAGAACCGATTTTTGAAATAGCATTATTCCATAGTAACTTATATTTGTAATCATGTTGCATATGCTCAGGAATGAGTGTATATAATTTAATTTAAAATTGAAAAGAATTCAAACTAAAACAATATATGCCGTAAAGCCACTCCACTACCCAGAAATTTAAATTAAGAGCAAATTGAACATTGAATCCAATAATAAATTCGGAAAAACCTTTATAGGGTAAAATATAAACCATATTTAACCTCTAGTTTTGCTCCATGTATATGAAAGAATGATTTTGATAATAAATAAAAGATATCGATAATGCGAACTCATACATACTAGAAGAATTATTTAGAATAGTACTAGATATAAAAATGATTGTTCGACTCAATCTACAAAATTTGATCGACATTAAAGAGAGCAGGTCTAAATTGAGACTTAAGGCGAAACTAAGTGTACCAAGCAGTACGTCCCTCGTAAAGGACTAGATTAGATAGGGATTATATGAAACGCCGGCGTCCACTGGTAAGTCATAGAGCTGATGAACACACTGCATTGGTGTAATTAAGTTTACATCACTAATATTCATGTTTGTGTATGACAACACATAATCGGGTACTAAACAGTACGTAATCTTTCTGTGCAACTTTTCTTTCTCCGTATCCCCTTCTCTCTCAATACCTTTTGTCTCGATGTATCTTCTTCTCTCTCTCCTATTTATATTTTCCTTATTCTCTCTCTAATATATAAACTCGCGTTATATGTGAAATAGAGAGCTGTATAAGAGCAGCATTATTAGAGTAGTATTAAAGCAGTATCAGGGCAGTTGAGTCGAGCTCAGTTCTAAACAAGCCAAGTTAGAAGAAAGTTGTGCTCTGTAATACGTACGATTGTATTCGGTTGTATTGAAAGACAACACACAGACCTAATTTTGGACAAGAATAAACTTATTGTCTGGAATTGTTTTTATTATTATACACACGGTGGCTAAAATATATAGCTGATACTGATCCGCACTTTGTTGTTCATCATCCTATCAGGATATATACGCAATTCTATCTATCTCGATAGTTATTGGAAGAAATTTACCCGACCTAAATATTTTCCCGTTACACAAAGGAGTTTTGAATATCATACGCTCTAGTCGAATAGTAAAAAGCTGTTAGCGCAATCCCTTCGGGATTTAAATGTGAAACACGACGTAACTGTTGAGGTGTATCATAGTCATTGCTCCGCCTCTCTACTCTCCCTGCATTTCTAATACCGTTTGTGATGGATCCAAAGCTTTTCTCTCAAGGTCTGTGAAGATTAATTCATTAATTAGACTGTAATTAGCTAATTAATTAAAATGTTTTGGAAGGAATTCAAATTCTAGTCTTAACCCTTGGACTCAGCTTCACACCCTCTCGAACGGTCTCTGGTGAGGGAATCCCTTTCGGTAACGCTCNCCCCCCCCCCCCCCCCCCCCCCCCCCCCCCCCCCCCCCCCCCCCCCCCCCCCCCCCCCCCCCCCCCCCCCCCGCAAATTTCTACCCTAAACACTTCAACACTCCTTTCAGGTCGTGTTTCACAAAAAATAAGAAGCAAGAAAAATTGATTACTATACCATTGCCCAAAAATATACTGATCCCTCTCAAGCCGAGACTTTGATCATTTTTCAGTTCCAAATAGACAAAGCAATTACTGACTAATAAGTCTAATGACGGATAAGTGCTTACATACCTACAAAAAACAAGAGCATCTTATGACTGTGATGCGTAAATTAAGGAAACGAAGAATATTTGTTTAAATTCCTATAAGTATGGTGGAGTCTTCTTTGATAAATGCATTTCTTTCTTTAAAGCCCGGACAGCGTCGTGCATCTTCATCGATATGGTATTCTGCTCCTGAAAAGATAAACGTTCAACCTGACAAAATCAGAACTATACCATCGGGAACGAAGTAAGAAATAAAATACGATTAAATTATAAAGTGCCACTCTTTTCTAACAGAACCACGAGCGACACATTCACATTGATTAATGCATTGCAAGTGTTTATTATTTCATTTATTGGTGCAGGAGTTGCTGCAGCCATAGTCGTCCCATTAACCATTAGTGTACTAAACTCCTCAGGTAAGTGTAGTTTTTTAGTTGACAATAGATCTAATTACTGGATAGATTTCTCTAAAATGTTAAACCTATTATGAATTTGAAAGATTTTCGTTGTGTTTTTTCGTATTTACGTTGAATGCCTAAACCGTGAAGCCTCTCTGTCTAATAAATTATGGTCGAAAATCAAATTCTATTGTTTCTATACGATATTGCATTAACAAAAGCATTTGTTTTTATTTCGACATTAACCGTCCGTTGATATTATAGTGGGAGAAGTTATTCTTATGAAGAGTGTGAATGAATGAATTAATGTGAACATGCTGAATTTCCTTAGTAATGCCATAGAATCGATACGTATATATGCTTGTAGAATATGAGACTACTTATAGTGTTTCGTCTTATGTTGGTATAATTGAAAATAAAAGTCTAATATTTTCGCTATCCAA